ATTTATTAAGGAACGCTCCCAGGATGTGCCTGCTCTTGAGACCTGGTTAACTCGAAGAGACAGGTAGCTGAGCAGTGACATCTAAAATGAAATAATCAAAATCATGGCTCCCACACTACAACACCACAATGTAGAAGAGGTGAAAAGGGACCTTTTTTCTGGAATCATCGCCGACGGGACCGGCAACATCACCGATGATGTTCCCGGCAGAGGTCGGCATTTTAGGTTGCCCTCACACACCCTCACCCTCACAGCGACACTCACATAAGCCCTTCACTCACCCTCACCCTCAAAACCACACTCACCTTCAACCCTTCACTCACCCTCATCCTCACAGTCACGCTCACCTTCAGCCCTACATTCACCCTGACTGAACCTCATGGCCCTCACGCCCCACACGCACTCACCACTCTCAAGGCTCTCACGCACTCATGGCCCTCACCGCCCTCACAGCCTTCACGCACTCATACCCCTCATGCCCCTCACGCACTCATCGTAGCCCTCACGCCTCTTACCGCCCTCACTCACTCATGGCCCTCACGCCCCTCACCGCCCTCACGGCCCTCACGCACTTATACCCCTCACACCCCTCACGCACTCATGGCCCTCACGCCACTCGCCGCCCTCACCGCCCTCATGGCCCTCACGTCCCTCACCCCCTCACGGCTTTCACGCACTCATAGCCCTCACGCCCCTTACGCACTCACCGCCCCCATGGCCCTCACGCACTCATTCCCCTCACGCCCCTCACGCACTCATGGCCCTCAAGCCACTCAGGCCCGCTTCAGATGGGGCAATTTCGCCCAGAAACTTGATTTCGCAACACCAGCAACATAGGCCGCCCGCGTTCACACGCAGTAACCAATTGCTGCAACTTGGCTTTATCATTATGAATTTTTTTTCGGACTATTTAGACACACAATTACGCGCTATAAACGTGTTTTTATGCATTTAAATCTCGTTGGGAATACTAAGGCGTCTTTCTGAAATATTTGATTTCCAAAAACGATCAATATCAAACCAGAACCAAGTCTTTTGTTGTCATCATCACCGGCACGAGGTATCACGTGAAAATATCGCGTCCCTGATTGGATGCAATCGCTTCAAACGTCTTCGGATTGCTCCGAGTTGCTCGCTTGTTTTGATCCGGACCCGATCGCAGCAATTCGTGTCGATCTAGGGAAAGCCATGTAACAACCCGCCAGCAACACCAAAAATGCTGAGAAAGTTGCTTCGTCTGTCCTTACGCATTCACCGCCCTCACGACCCTCACGCACTCATGGCCCTCACACCCCTCACGCACTCACCGTCCTCACGGCCCTCACACCCCTCACGCACTCATGCCGTTCACACACTCACCGCCCTCACGCCTCTCACGCACTCATCACCCTCACACCCCTTACGCACTCACCGCCCTCACGGCCCTCATACCCCTCACGCACTCATGGCCCTCACGACGCTCACCGCCCTCACGCCCCTCACGCACTCACAGCCCTCACACCCCTCACGCGCTCACGGTCCTCACAGCTTTCACGGCCCTCACTCACCCTCACACTCATGAATTTTCCTGGTTCAGAAACTCACTCACCCTCACCTCACCTGTGGAGATGAGGGTGTGTGAGGGTGAGTGAGGGCCCTCATGAGTGAGGTTTTCCGAAGTATGGTTGCCGGAGACGAGCAGTTTAGTCTATGGTTGCGTTGGGTCGAAAATGTGTTGCTGAAGATCAAGGAAGAGTTCCAGACTCTAAGGCTAACACGCTGTTCATAGAAGTCAAGGATATGCTTGCTCGTCTAGTGCTGGACGTGATTAGTTTGCTAGGGACACTGCTTTGATGGTGCAGGAAAGATGCGTGGGCGTTTCTCTGGTTTTCAGAAGAAGATAACCGACATTCAGTTGAAATTCGTTTACGTGCATTGTGTCAGACTTTTTTTTTTAATTTTGGCTCTGCCGGAGGTTCGAGGGAAGCAGCAGAAAAGTCGCAGAAGCGTTTACTGTAAATTTTTGTGTCCAACATCATTCCAGCGTCCTCAAAACGGTAGAACACATGCATAGGAATAGTCCTCCCTTCATTCGTGGACGCGTCACAGGAAACGTCCGTCAAGGCAATTAATCTTCTGCCACTCTGTCCAGCGAGGTGGACAGTGCGAGTGAATTCCGAAAACCGATTTCTGCAGAACTACGAGGGGGTTCAAGTTATGGTCTACGATCTTTTGCAACGCCATGATTCAATAAAGATGATCGAAGAGCAATCGTGAGAGGGTACGAAAAACTGCCCAACAAGTTTGAAACACTTTTCGGACTGACCATGTCAAAGGAACCTTTCGGCCCATGTGAACAACTTGTCAGGGTTCTTCAGAGTCCTAGATACAATGCAATCGGAACTATGCAAGCGGCTGAAGCTCTGCATCAAACTATGATGAATTTGAGAACAAATAAGGGTATGATAGAGCGTGGGCCGAACACAAGAATGACTCTGTGAAGCTTGGCCTTAAACAGAGGGAGACCACAGCCACCAGAACTGTAAAGCCACCCACAATATTTGAGAAGACGCGGATGCCCACTTCCCCAGCGGTGATGGATGCAAAGGCCAACCTTGGAAAAAAAGGTTTTTTTTTTTTTTCTTTTGCGGCAGTTGACTGCGTAGCGTCTGAAATAAAGAGCCGGTTCGACCAACCTGGCATGGAGCTGCTTGTAAAGCTCAAATGCACGCTTGTCAGCGGTGCACGTGGACAGCAATTGAATACGGAAAAGTAAAAAAAAAAGTGCTTGGCGTCCGTGGCAGCGACTTTGATTTAAAAAGGCTAAATGTACAGCTTGTACTCCTCCCAACGGTTCTTTCTGGCATAGAGGTGAGCGTAGCCGATGATGAGGCGGAAGCATTGAAAGCGCAGTATTGAACTGTTCTGAATATCTTGGACCAGGTTGTCAGTCTTGTGCAGCTGTGACTAACGGTGCTAGCATAGGCGGAATCAGGGGAGCGTTCTTTCAGTGCGCTGAGGCGAGTAAAAACTTACCTACGGGGTCGCATCACGCAGACCCGCCTCACGCATCTCTTTCTTCTGCATGCCCACCGACAAAGAAGTGGAAAGCTGTGCCTCAACAATTTCATGATTGGATTTATCGTCGAAACATCGAACGCTTAGCTACGTGGGACTTATGTTAGATGGATAGTTTATTTTTTTCCTCTTTCGGCAAAGTGTTCGAAACGAGCAGTTTCATGTTATTAATTTGACTCACCGACCACTGTCCCTCGATTTCGCTCAAACGCCCGCAGCAGGCTGAACGGCCGTTCACCGACATTCTGCATTCGCTGGCAGTGTAGATTTTCGCCGCTTTCCTCAACCTGAATATGCTGAATGTTGGTTTGTTGCCTCGCCCATACGTGTTAACAATTATTAAATATAAACGCCTGATACAGTTTATCAATTGTATAATCGATTCGTACTAAGTACGAAATGCACGCAAGTACTACGTATTTGCCTTTATAGGAGACAATTAACACACCCTTGCTGAAAACTTTCCATTAATGATTTTTGCCTTGCCTTTTTTTGTTTTGCGTTTTGTGCATATAATTAATTTGCGCACAAATGAAGCTCTTGTGTCACCTTCTCGTCATTACGTTTTTTTTTTTTTTCAGACAGTGCTCAATTATTAGTGTCTCAATATATGGCGTGATGCCTGGGGTATCTTTCCGTGAAATGTTCATGTGTACATATTTGCGACGATCCTTTTGTTTTGTTTGATGCGGCTTAATTTGGCATCGTCATGTTTTTTTTTTTTTGTTTTTTTTTGATGAAACAGTTTTCTCGCTGGACAGTGTATGTATCCACTCTGTTGAATAAACGAAACATGTATGTCGAATGTATCGAAACGCGTCAGCGTATTTTTTCCTTTGATAGGTTATTTCTAATTATCTTTGCCACACGTTAACTCAACTAAGTACGATCATTTTGGTAACATAGGCCACTACTTAAGGTTCACAATCTGAGAGCAGGAACGGGATACAACCGCGTTCACATAACTGGAGAAAGTTATGTTCTGATTTCCGTTATGTGTTCTTCCTTAACGCTTTACAGTCGCAATCAGTTCTCCCTCAAAGCCGTAGTTAACCTAAAAGAATATGGCTGTGCAATGCCACCTTCGACATTGTATTCCAATCACTTTTAACACTTGTGTGTCTACGTCTGCGTTAATACATCATGGTTCCCCGAGATTTCCTAAATGAAGGGATGAAGGGACGTTTTCATTTTCAGACAAAGCCAACTAGGCATAGGCATAGCTGCGGTTGATATGTAATATTTGGTCAAGGAAATTTAAAAAAAAAATAAGAGAACACATGGTGCGGTTGTTTTTAGTGGTTATCGAATCATATTGTATGAGTCTTCAGTGTCAAGATGTTTAATGTTATATTACAGAACCATTGTTTTACTTTGTTTTACATGTATTTGTGCATGAATATGTAAACGCGTTGCAATAATAAGTTTCAATAAAATATGGCAATTAATGTCATCTTGCAACCAACCTAACTTTAGGGATTTTAGAGATGTCGAGCCCCCCCCCCCTCCCCCCCCCTTCTCCAAAGAAAGACTTCCGGTGCCTCTGTGATTGCGCAAGGAGCATACGACATCCATGCTTGCCCAGTTTGAAGGGAAACGATAGGTTGAGGCAAAGGCAACTATAGTTGATGGCAGGTTAAAGGTAAAGTGGAAGCTCCTCCCACTTCTTTTCGCTGTAGCAGAAGGGACGCTAGAGAGGAGGCGACGTCCTCTCGTGCGTTCGCTCTGCTAAAGTAAAAAGAGGTGGGAGGAACTTCCATTGTATTCTTAACCTGTCACCGCCTCTTGTCTTTGAGTGTCTCCAGCATCACCTGCCAAGCAGTGTTCGGTGCTTTGACGTCGCTGTACCTCCTGCGCAATAAGCAGACGAACCTGCTCGCCGTGCACCTTTCGGCTGTTCGGCGTTTTTGTTGTGTTGACATCCAGTGCGATGATGCCATTACCTGGCCAAGGCTGCCGTAGTTGAATGAATCCGGTCCGTCCTTGATGAAGAGCGGCGGCTGAAGAAGAGCGGGCCCAACAGCGGCCCAGCCGGCCCACATTCTGTAGGACACCCAAAGCGCTCTCACATCGAAGAACACGTTCTTCTGCTCGTATATCAATGATTGATGCCGTGCGAAGGCACCAGTTTTCCAGTGTTTGAAGAACTCTCTGTCGTCCCACTGGTACTTCTCTGTGGAGCATGAATGCAACAAAATAGATTGAGACAAATAATTTAAGGTTGACTTTTTTATTTTAAGCGTAGGTTTTTCACTTCCAAGCCACCTCGCAATAAATGAGAGGTTATACTACGGATCAAAAAATATTTTCTGAGCTTATTGTTTTCTTAAAGTATATCCAGAGTCATTTCCTGCCTGTGTGTGACATGCGGTATACATAGCTTGCAATTGTCGGCAATGCTGAGTACTGACGGTAATTTCTACTTACTGCTTTCTTCGAACTACGACTTGCGCGCTGTGAATCCCACACGGCGAACCGGATGGTCGCACCGCATAGAATACTGCCATAGCAGCGAACGACGTTACATGTACGCTATGTATAAAGTCGGTATCGGATTACTTAATTCGTTCTATGTCCTATTTTTGTGAAGATAACGTTTATTGCGTATTGCTGGTGGACACTAGACACAAAAAAATACGCCCCGTAAAAAAAAAAAACATGTTTTGCAAGCTTAATAATTATGTATTGGGGTGAGTAAAAACAGATGGCAATCTTAAAGGGGCCGTGAAACAATATTGGGTATGAATGTTTTTAACCTTACACAATCATACTGTCACTAGTGAGACCCAAGTCTACTCGTGCGCAACGTCACGTACCAACAAGCACCTTTGTCGCCGCGTAAGTTTGAAGAAAAAGAGGACGTTATTCTTTAGGTCCCTACTTATCAAAACTTGATGACAAAGTTGTGGTGATCGCATTATCATCGACATCAATGCAATTCCTTGGGTTTTACCATCAATGTTTGCAATTCCGGTGGTGACGGCAATTAAATACAGCTCATACAATAGACACCAGCAATGCGCGAGCATTCGATTTCGGATTGTGACAATCAATGCCTCGACATGCATTCGGGTAGGAGCTCGTGCCCAATAAATTCAATGACGAGAATAGTCGAACCCTAATATTTCGGGGAACTCAGCGAGTGCCCGGTGCGTTGCCAGCCCCAACGAGTGGCTATGAGAAACGCTGGTGGCATATAGTCTGCTCCAGACCCTGTAGCCGCTTGTTCTTGCTGCGAGTTGAAGAGGCGAATGCTTGTCTTTCTTCATTATATATATATATATATGTGTGTGTGCGCGCGCGCGTGTGTGTGTGTGTGTGTGTGTGTGTGTGTGTGTGTGTGTGTGTGTGTGTGTGTGTGCGCGCGCGCGCGTGCGCGTGTGTGTGTTAGCGCTGTCGCAAAAGAAGACGACTGACCCCAAGCTCGCGCCATTACCCGCGTGGCGCACTGTTCCTTTTGCTGGGGAGGCGTACCCGCCGGATGTGTATCAAACGCTCCCTTTTAAACCTTCACTGGTTCCCGTTTCCCATGTCGAGGCTGTAACGTATCAGAATCGGGATGGACCAAGCCTGATCCACCGACCATGACCGAGCGCAAGTCGAATCCTGTGGCCATGAATCGTCAAAGAAACGGCACCAACCAGCATCTCGACATGAACGAGGAAGGGCGGCGGCGGAGCGAGCGGAACCGAATACGACAGACTGCGGCGGCGGGCCCTCTCCGACTTCCAGCAACCGTTGCGACTGGAACAAGGTGCACGAGCTTTGGCGGTAGCGACGACGCAACCACGAGTCAAGGTGGCGTGGCAGATCAAAATTCGGAACGCTCCGACACCGTGGGGCAACGAATACTGCTGGCAGGCCCAGCAAGCGTTCCGCCAACAATCCAGACTGGGTTGTATGGATCAACAGGTGACCTGTCTGAGCTTCCGACTATTGTACAAGAGGCTGTACAAGCCGCCGTGCGAGGAACGGTCGTGGGCATGGCTGACCTGCTTCGTCCCACAACCCAGCACACGCACGACCCAAGACGACCTGCAGAGTCCGGTAAGCTGGTACCAGTGTTCAACCCCGTCAAGAACCCGGTGCAGACAGCTGAACATTGGATACGGAACGTCGACGAACTATCGGCGATATACTCGTGGACCGAGATACAGACGGAGTGTTTTGCGCTAACGAAGCTAGAAGGAATCGCCAAAACGTGGTACGACGGCTTCGTCAGTGTCCAGCATTGTGGCTTGAATAGAAGCAGGAGCTGAAAAAGGCTTTTCCACCAGTCGTAAACCTACAACGCCGACACCAGGAAACGGAAGCGAGGCGAAAACTGCCGGACGAAACCGTGAAACAGTATTTCCATGAGAAACTCAGCCTGGCGCGCCTTTGGCCACTTCCGGAAGATCAGATCATAGACTATGTCATTACAGGCATCAGTGACGAAGCGCTCGTTCGGGGCCTGAGCGTTGTCAAGTTTTCAACCCCAGAGGATCTACTGGAGTGCCCCAAACGTTTGGACGACCGACTCACCGCCGCCGGGGAAACGTCCCACCGATCCGATGTGGTTACTGGCTCAAGAGCAGGAAAGAACGATTCCGCCCAGCGACCAAAATGCCCACAAAGTCTCGAAATGAAAACCGCCATTCAACTCTAATGGTGAACCGCGATGCTTCAACTGTGACGAATACGCACATATGTCTGTAAACTGCAGTAAGCCAAAGAAGCCAGAACACTGTAGCAAATGTCACCGAACAGGACATAAAACAGCTGACTGCAGATCCAGCGGCAGAAAACGTGTGTCCGTAGAAAATTATCACATCGAAAACAAAGAGCAAGTAAATGCACAAAGCGAAAAGTATTTTCAAGATGCTCTCGTAGACGGGAAGCTTGTCCGAATTTATATTGACCTTGGAAGCCAATGCGTTACGCTGCGCAAGGTGAATGTCGATGATCTGGGAATCGACTATAACCAGCCGTCCCGAGGATGTAAGAGTGGAGGCTACGGTTTTGGTCAGGGCCTGCCATGCGGAATCACGGAAGCAAGCGTCCCCCTAGACCAGGCAACAGCCCGCGTTCCAATCTACGTTGTTCCCAGTGAAGCGCAAGCGATTCCTCTTCTTGTTGGACAGCCGTTTACAAAGCAACCACATGTTACAATCGTGCGAAGAAGGAACGCGTTTCGCATTTTCAAAGAACAAGGCAGTTTTATTTATAATGATGACCGGCTCCAACACATTCAAGTCCCTGATCTTTCACCACGCTCTCTAGTGACATGAGCCAAAGAGTCTGTCGTGATTCCACCGAACTACGTGGGGTTCATTCATCCAACAACCAATGAGTATGCGGCAAGACACGTCTTTGTTGCCACACAGTTGCGGATGCAAGAAGGCAAGAAACACTGTTTACCTGCTTGTGTAATCAACGTCACAGAAGGTGGCGATACGGCTTTGCCAATTTTGAACATATCCAGTTCCAACCTCAATATTTCAAAAAGCGATGTAGCAGCCAGAGGCTCGTGGTGTTCGGAAATGTCTGAAACCGCCATCAAGCGAACGACAACGGATCTTCTGGAACCGATCAAAGCGGAAGATGTACGAACAGGACCTCAGCTTTGTCCTGATCTGTGGAGGAGATAACAACCTACAACAAAGGACGGTCCTATCGTGCGAGCGCCTTTCAAGACGTGGCTAATTAGGGAACGCTACCGCTACAACTGCGCAGGCCAAGGCCACTTTGGTCAACAATGCAACATGAAGAAGAAGGGCAATCCAGGTACGGCCTACATCTTTTGTTACGACGACCCTTACGAGTCTCAACGTCAGAGTAGACAGTCAGAAGGATATGGGCGAGCACCACCGAACAAGCAGAAAGGAGGCAAGGGCAGCCGCGAATGGGTGCGCAGCGAAGACGCGTCGGCAGAAAGACAACCAAGGAAACGACCTCACCACAGTACGATTCAACAGCACCAAAACAACGACGGCGGCTACGACAACAGACCTTCCGCGAGAAACGGCGGTATCTCGAGAAACAAGAAAAAGAACAAGAAGTCGCACTTGCAGCGGAAATACGATACTACATTCTAATGAGACCTACCGCATTGAGGATATATCTGGACACCAGCGGACTCAACGTTTCTACACGTCGGCAGCTAATGTCGACAAACTGAGACGATTCAACACCTTTGATGATGACATTGAAGGAACATCAAGTGAGGACACTTGAATATTAGGATGGCCGAGTGTTAGCGCTGTCGCAAAAGAAGAGGACTGACCCCAAGCTCGCGCCACCACCCACGTGGCGCACTGTTCTTTTTGCCGGGCAGGCGTACCCGCCAGACGTGTATTAAACGCTCCCTTCTAAGCCATCACTGGTTGCCGTTTGCAACGTCGAGGCTCAAGCATATATATATATATATATATATGTTTATAAATATATATATATATATATATATATATATATATATATATATATATATATATATATATATAGTTATTGCTACTGCGTGAAGAAAAAGGAACTAGCGTGTGTTTCATAGGTTATGAATGCCGAGGAATAAATACTGAGCTTTGTTTATAGAAAGTACATAAGTGTTAACATGGTACGTTAACACTTATGTGCATGAAAAGACTTAACCAAGAAGTTTCACTGAGTGCCACGGGGCAGCATTGCAGCATGACCTAACAGGTTTTCGACCTGTCGTTCTTTTTAGGGAAACAATGCAAGCATTTTTCGAACTCTGTTCAATTATTGCTGTGTAATTGTTCTATATGTCACCAATGACAAAAACAGGAAAAAAATGTTTTTTGTGCGCGCTAGTGTGGAACTTAAAATTCTTTTTAACAAAACCCCCAATAATAAAATTGAGCCCGTCAGTCTGTCCAACCGCCCGAGACCTACAAATGATTTCAGTTTCCCGGCTAAATTCTGCATGGGAATTCACGCCCCGACACCCAAGCACTAAACACCAAACAATTCAGTTTCTTCGTGTTATTTAGCTTGAAACTTTGGCGCGTGGCCTGACGTCGCGAGATCTAGGCTGATTCAGTTTTCTTGCTAAATTCAGCCTAATAGTTACGTCATAACCTACACGCCGATTCAGTTTTCACGCTCAATTTATCGGGAAAATTGATGTTAGAGGATATTATGTCACCTGATCTATACTTTACCTTAGTTTCCCCT